CCCAAGCTCAAGATGCTCTAACCCTACAATCTCAGAGCTGAGCTCAGAGCTTTGTTGAGGCTATGGGAAAGTCAAGAAGAAGACAGCTCATACCTTCAGAGAAAACGTGATCTAGCTCAGAAGAAAAAGTAAATGCCTGGAATGAAGGAACAACAGTTCAACAGACCATGTAAATACATACTAAGCTGTAAAGCCTACAGAACATAATAAAAGTTAAAGAGAGGAGATGTCCAAGGCCAGGGCACCTCTGGAAAAGTCCAAAATGGCTTTGTGCAGGGAATGGGATTTGAGCAAGAAATTGGTAGGCTGTGAGATGATGAAGGAAGAGGAGGCACCCATGCATGCATGCATGCAGCCCGGCACTCACACCCTCACACACACGTGGACCACAGCCATGCCTATGAGGGCCTGACGGCTGAACACACAGAGCAAGTCAACCCCTTAGGGCAGGTCGCCGAGAGGCATCGATCAGGTTTCTCTGTCCAAGTTTCCAATGTCAACTTTTGTCTGCTGAAACTACTTCTATTACTGTATTATTTCATTACTTGAAGTCTTGAGGGATTTTCATCTTCAAAGTCTCTGATACATTCAAATCCTTGGAGAGAGAAATTTCTTATATCTGCTGTCCTCAGACTTTCTTTCTATGGGCAGAGTGTGGGGGTAGCAAATAGCGGGGAGGAGACCCAGTCCAGGTGAAAGCACACACAGTGCTTCTTCCAGGGGAGGCCAGGCTTCCAGAGCAGCCTTATGCCGAAGGCCACCGAAGGGATTTCTAATCAGTAGTTATGTCTCACTGTGTCTTCCCAGGAAGAGCAAGTCATGCAGACTGGTAAGTGACAAAGACCTGCGGAGGCCCAGGTTTCTGCACAGGCTACACAAGGACATCCCATAATAAGACTCCAATGAGAGTGTAAAGATGATACTATGTCAGGGATCACTATCCCATGTTTAATTCAGTGTTTTCACTTATCAAAAAGGAGGATTGGATTTAACAGTGACCAAGGGCCCTTCTAATACTCAGGCTCTGCGTCTGTGTGTTTGGAGCAAGTGGAATCATATTTATGGCTTTTGCTTTCCTCATATTGGATAGAACTTCTGAATCTCTCACAGACAATGAGAGTCACAAAAATGCTTTGAGATCCATTAGCAAAAACATTATTTTTTTAAGGTAGCCATTAAAAGGGGGGAGCAGTCCCAGACACAAAAACCAGTCCTTACAAAATAAGTTTGAGAGAAGGACTGATTTTAAACAGCTCTCTTAACACATTTTACACGTAATATTCTACCAGAATGTTCCTCCCCAGGTTCTCCATTGACTCTATAGTTCAACTGACAGAAATTCAATTTATATATCTCTTCAGGAAAATATCTGCTTCTTGAAATGAGGTACACCTGACGTGAAGCAGAGTATAGTATCTCATGATGAGGATTCCAGAACATTTTGGTTATCACCCTCTGGCCCAAGCCAAGTTATTTATTCTCCCTTTTCTTATCCACAGCAGGTTGCCTCATGGACTCACATGAACAAGTATACACTACACTCTTCACTTTAAGACCTAAGAGATTTATCCATTCAATTCTATAGCAGTTTGGTTCATTTTCTTTTAAAGAAATTTAAAAGAGTTCACTATTTCTTTAAAATGGTGCATATCTGGGCAATTAGTTTGCTCAGAGGTAGAAATGGCTGAGGACAATCTACTTATCCCAGATTCTATCTCTTTTCTGTTCCTGAGTAACTGATTAGCCAGCCTAGCTCATGAAAAAGGAAATGGGAAAAAATATATATTTCTCATAACATGATGCTATTTTTCCACATACTTCTTTATCACTTTCTAACAAACCATGAGAAGATATCAGCACTTAATGAAAAGAGGTATAACTGTCTAAACCTGTGAACAGTTTTCTCCCTAAAAACAGTGCATCATACCTAGGATATGAGGAGGTTTCTTTTAATGAATATACTCTATTTAGATGTAGATAAAATAAAGGAGCTATAGAGAGGAGTAAAGGCATGCAAAGGGTAGGATAAAAGAGGCAAGGAGGAAAGAGTAAGAGAGAAGAAGGAAAAGTAAGAAGAACTTAAACATGTTAGTAAAAAGTTGCCCAACTCCTTGTTTTTACTCTTGAGGAAAATGAGACCTAAAGTGTGGGAAGGAGCAGAAATCTGAAAGTCAGAAGAGGAAACAGGAAATGAAAGAGTACTTGAGAAGAGAAGAGAATGGAGGAGAGGGAAAGAGAGTGTGAGTCTGGCAGTGGCATCTGTGGAGACAGTCTAACAAGTCCTTGGCTCTGATGAGCACACGCAGCCCTGGATCAGATGTGTTCCTGTGTGCATGAGCGTACTGGCTATATTTAGCTCCGATGTAACTCAAGTCACTGGTGTTTCATGGGGGCAGCTGCCGCACAGTCCTGAAGAGACATTTTACTATCTACCCTACAATAATCACGTCAAGGGCTTCAGAGCTACTGAAGTTCATGTGTTTACATACAAACAAGCACTGATAAGACTGTCAACATGGTGCAATGGTCTTCTGTATAACAGGACAGCATTTTCAGAAGACTCAAGTCATTACTCCTGGCTCCTCACTATGTCACTTATTCTCAACCCTTGCCAGCAAATATTGGCCCTTACCTTTTATGGCGTGTTCTCGCCGGAGAACTTCTCCAATCTTTGTGCTCTTCCACGCTTCACAGGGCTCTGTGTTTTGGAAGAATACTCCCTGGTATCTACTCAAGCCCCCTCAGATGCAGCTGACCCATAGAAAGACCTCCAGGTGTCCTCTGAGGCTGGGGGAATGTGGTTGACTTTTACCAAAAAAAGTTGGGCTGTTAAAGGGTTGGCAAGTTACCACCTGAATACCCCATGGCGAATAATGAAAACCCTGGCACCACACCAGAGAAGTGGTAAGACTGGAAAAGGTTTAGAAAGTCAACAGTGCTTGACCTGAATATTAAGTAATTATGAGTCACTGTTCTGGGTAAGCCACCCTGGTTTGATTCTGTGGGACAAAATCACACATAGTCATTTCCTTCCCTCACAAAGAAATTCAGTTATGATTTGTGAACAACCATACAAGGTGTCACAGGGAACAGATGAATGGGCTCAAGATAAATGCTGAGAGAAGAAGACGCAGTTGGAATCGGGGAAGCCTGGGACAATTTTTCAGAGGAGGAGACTTTTCTTGAAGGATGAATAAGGTATTGATAAGCAGAAAAGAGGGAGGAGAGATAAAATAAGCCAAGATGTTCCTTCTCCATTCGTTGTGTTATCGTTGGATGCTTTTGCAAAACTCAAGTTCCCAATCCTGTGTCTTGACAAATATCAGTAGGTTCTCCATAATTAATTCCTGGAACAAAAGCCACCTGTACAAAGATTTTGGCCAAGAAACAACCTCCTTATCTACAAACCAGAAAACTAAATGTCCCTCTCCCATGAAACAAGACAAGGAAAGGTAAGCTGAAACTAGCACAGAGAAAGTCTGGGTCCTTAGAATAATGATTGTCTCTGCTGCAGAAAAAATGCAGGGCAAGTGACACTGATAGGAAAAAAAAAAATGATGGAAGCACCCTCCCTGCTCTAAACCTTGAAAAAGAGAATCCCTGGAGGATGGCGTGTGCCAGTCGTCCCTGCCTGACTGAGAGGAGGAAGTGAGGGGGCAAGTGCCAGGTGGGGTGAGGAGCTCAGTTTAGCCAGAGTTCATCTCCTAGCTGTCTAGTTCCTTTAACCCAGACTAGACTGAAGGGCCAAGAGAAGAACGTTCTCTTTAGGGTATGAAATGGATCATTTCCAGTCCAGATGGCTCCCCATAAATACATTAATGATTTTATAGGCATACCTACCTGGAAAGGTAACAGTTTAACAACCACACTGTGGGAAATGCTCCTTTTGGATTCTGTGTAAACTGGGATAAAAGACCAAAGAACTATTAAAAAGTATGTGTTAAATGATCCCCTTTCCCGCACCTCATTCTTTTTAGGTGGCAAGCGCAATAAAACAAGCCTAATATTTGGTTTAAAAGAAAATATATAATACATCCAAACCTTCAGAATCATTTGAACATAAATGGTCACAGTGTTGAGAAACACACACACACACACACACACACACACCCTCACTGGTAACAAAATCAAGACCTACTGCTGAGCATGACTATGCAGTTCTAAGACTCATGTCATATTTCACTGGACAAATTCCCCGATGCAGGAAGAACCTGTCCTTTTCCTCTGCCTCCAAAGCTGCTCCCAAACCTGCCTCATACTTTCTATCTAATCCCCTCCCGGCATGGCCATCTTTCAGGGAAACTACCACAATAGCCCCCAAATGATCCCTTTACAAGCAAATCTAATCTTGTCATGTCCCTACTTAACCCTGTAATGGCCCCTGTTGCTTTTAAGTTAGAGGCCCCAGGGATCTTTCTCCTGGTCAAGGGAGACTGGGGCAGGGGCCCCCTCCATGACCAGTCTCATCTCCATCTCCTCCCACTGTCCATATCATTTCATCTGCAGTACACACTCCCACTACGCAGACCTAGCAGCTCCGCAGCACAGCCTACGCCACCCCCCGCTCCCTCTCAGGGCCTTGTCACAGAACCTCTTTGCCTTCCAGACCCTTCAGGACACTTTTGCTTCACAGTCCTTATCCTGTTTGAAATTGTTCATTTGCATATTGATTGTTCGATCCACGCCGATCATCACAAGGGGCAAGTTGTGAAGATGAAATCATAAAATAGTCATGGAAATCCTTATAAGCAGGGTCCCCGTGTAAATCACAGCTTTTCCATGGCTACTTTGAAAGACCTCCCTGCCCTCAAAACAAAATGTAAAGGAAACAGCAGTAGCATCCCTTTCCTCAAACATCAAAAGGAAATGCCTTCCACAGCAGGCTCATTTTTATGTTGGGCTGAGCAAGTAGCAGGAACAACTTGGTCAATGATTAGCTTTGGGATCTCCTGGCATCAAATAAAAACCCGCTTCCCTCGGGCGGGTGGAGCCACTGACAACCACCAGCCTGAGTCTCGACTATCTCCCTGCTGCTGAAGCATGTCCCCTGGACCTGACACGCCTGGTTCCTAAGCTGCCAGCAGCCAAAGAAGAGTAAATATTAACTGTGGTGGGGAATGATTAGTCACATGTGGACAGCCTGCCACAGTTTCTAAGGTGCTGACCTGAAAAGGAGCTGAAAGGAAAGAAGACTGGGATCACCTGCCCGTTGGGCTGGACGTCTTGCACGTACCTCTCCAGGTCTAACCCTGCTCTCTCCACCTGGGATCCTGACCTCCGTGGGCTGCACGCTCAGGTTCTTTCACGCTCTGGCTTCAGCCAAGGAGGGGCACCAGCCCACGGGGAGATCACAGAGATGGAGGTGAGTGAAATCAGGAAAAGTATTTTCCCGCCCTCCTCCCTCCTGGGTCCCCCTAGGCTGGCCTTGTCCCTTAACCAAAGGCCACAGCTCGTAGCCAGTATCTCCCAGCACAGCTGCTTACACTCTTCCAGCTTGCTCCGCCAGCCCCAGCAAGCCCGCAGATTCTGGGAAGCGATCCCTCCTATTCCAGCCCAGGGGGATCACAGTTTTTCTGGCCTATTAGTCTGCCTGGGATCCTGCAGCCACCCTGGTTGCTTCCTTACACCCAGCTCACACCTGGAGGTAAAGGGGTCTCACTGCCATACGCATGCACATGAGCAGAAGAGCGCAAACTGAGGTGAGTCTGAGCAAGTCAGGGATCGGTTTCTGCGAGTGCCCGCATTTCTGTGATCCGAGGTGGCTGCGGGGCCTGTAGTCAGGAAGGGCTTCCCTGAGAAACCGATGTTTGAACTGACATCACGTCCAGGGAGGTTTGGGTGGGACGTGGGGAGGCGGAGGGGGCAGGGGGTCCCAGGAAAAGGGAACAGTCTGTGCAAAGGTCCTGCCCCATGTTCTTGGCCGCAGACCTAGTGACTCTCACACACAGGGCCTTAGCCCTTCATTTAACATTTGGTTATTTGAGCTTTTATGGGAAACACATTTTGCCATTTTTAATGGCTACACACACATAGAAGATGTTAAAGATAACAATTATGTTAATAAAAATCTACAGGTTTTACTTCTCCAACACATCAAAGCTTATTGGCAGCCCCGGCTTGGTCCATAGCGCCTAATACACTGGCAAATGTACAGCTGAAGTCCAATAAGCTCATTGTAATGGACTGACTGTTTGTGTCCCCCACAAAATTCATAGGTTCAAATCCCTAACCCCCAAGGGATAGTATTAGGAGGTGGGGCCTTTGGGAGGGAACTAGGTCCTGAGGGTGAAGCTCTCATGGGTAGGATCAGTGTGCATACAAGACACCCCAGAGAGCTCTCTCGGGCCCTTCTGCCACGTGAAGATACACTGAGAAAATGACAGTCTGCAACCCAGAAGAAGGCCCTCCCAGAACCTGACCAAGCTGGCACCCTGATTTCTAGCCTCCAGAGTGAGGAGAAACACATTTCTGTTGTTTATACACCATTCAGTCAGTCCATGGTATTTTCCTATAGCAGCCGAAGCCAAGACACGCACGCAGCTGATGGAGCGACTGGCTGAGGAACCGGAGGATGGGGAAAACCCAGCAGAAAACAGCACTGCCTGTCAGGGGCGGCTGGCATGTGAAAGGCAGGTGAGCTGACTTCCAGCGAAGTCTGAGGTTGACCTTGGACAAATTAAACTTATCTCCAGATACTATTTGCTCAGGTCTCAGGCCCTAAGATAGGAGATAAGCGAGAGTTATTTTGGTCGCCCAAAAGCTTCACAGAAGAGCTGGGACACAGTGGTAACCACCCTTCCCAGGGCAACATGTGAAATTCAGCCTCGGGTGTGAGGTTTCTTCCGCGCAGCTCATCAAAGAAGACTGGAAGCTTCCGTACAACCCACAGGTACCTTTGTCGAAAGCCCCTGATACCTGAAAAAATGATGCATTTTCTCTGAAAGAGGAACTGATATTTTAGATTCAGCACTTTTATTGGTTTTTTTTGTTTGTTTTTTTATTTCTTTTAACTTCAGGGTATAAGTTTGATTCGTGGCTATCTCCCCATACCTCAGAGCAAGCCAGAATCCAAGAGGGAGCCAGAAAAGCCAACCTCATTTTCCTGGCAGGCATTTTATTGTCAGATAGAAAAAGGGGACGTAAGGATAGGGACCCCAGTTCAGTCCCATTTCTGTAATTAACCTCAATGTGGCTCTCTCTGGGGCTGCTTTGCTGTTTGTAAAATAAATGGCTTATATTAAATGATCTATGAAATCCTTAGATCTTACAATTTTGAGCCCCATTCTTTTGTTAATTTCCGAAATATGTCTTAAAAGTCAATATGTCGCCACCATTCTGTTATTAGGGGTGGGGGATAGTATACCATCCATGCCCCGCCCCCCCACGAGAGTTCTTATCTTGTGGTTAATAGGCCTCCCAAGAAGGTCTATGAGCCTCTTGATACTGCACACAACGTTTTGTGCCTAGAATGTATTTTTTCTGGGAAAAAAAGGGCTCATAGCTTTAGGTCACATAGGGTCTTAGATGACTTTAGCAGAAAAGCATAGGTGTGACTGCTCAGGTGAGAGATCCCAGATGAGATGTGAATGTCTCCGATGCAGACCAGCCCCAGAAGCAGACACGCCTATCTAACCACTACATGCTCTGGGCTCAGAGGAAGAAAAAGCCCTGGGACCTGACAGTTAGGAAGATTTCAGGAATAAGATGGCTCCTGATTTGGGATGGGATCTAGTGGGTGGATGATCAAGAGAAGAAAAGCATGGACGCCCCGTGCAAAAGTACAATTGTGGGTAAAATATATTATGTTCTCAATTAAAAAAAATACCAAACAAACATAAAAGTCCCTGCTGTTGTATTAATTTAGCTCTCTCCGGTGCACTTGAGGGTCACACACTTTCTTTTTCCCACCTGTCTTCTGTTAGCACCAGCCCCCAGAGTTCAGGGTTCAAAGGAAGAACAGGGCTTGGTTTTGCAGCTGGGAGTTGGCCCAGATAGAGCCGCTCGTTGAGCCAGGAGAATGCTGGGAGTTCCTGAGTCTGTGTCTGGTACTCAGCCTGGGGGAGGCCCTATAGGAGGCCGCACCATGGGTGGAGACAGGGGAGTGGTCGGGGGCTTTTTCCTCAGGGTTAACAGAAGAAGTCATGACTGCTGTGAAATCATGCAAAATCACAGTGCTCTGTGATTACTGCAAAATGGATCTCATTCATCGATTTTAAGGTATATTTGAAACATTTAATGACAGAGAGGAAGTTACACCATATACAGTTGTACATGCATGTGGGAAAACATAAACATGGCCGTGTATAAATGGAGGCTTAGGAGCTAGAACTTCTATAGTAAACGCTATTATCCAAAAGTTTAAACATATGTGAGACAACTCAGAGCAAATACGCCGGCATATGGCATTGAAACCAATATGTCAACACTTACAAGTAAGAAAACATCTATAAAAATAAAGTCAACCACATTTCTCTTTACATTTAGGCCACAAATGAGACCACTGCTGAGCATCTCTGGTTAAACATTAACATACACCAGGATCTGCCTATAACCTGTTCGTTAATGTGCAGTGCCCCAGCTAATTAATATATCACCAGCAGATCAAGTTCAGGGGACGATATTGAGCAAGTGCATTCCTGAGACCTCATTTACCCCCTTTCAGGTGGGAGAAGGTTCAGGAGAAAAGGACAGAGGAGGAAACAGAGAGAAAGGTGGAAGACATTATTAGTCTGCCACCATAGAGCACACACCAGTTTATACAAATGGTGAGTGTGTGTGTTCGTGTGCATTTGTGTGTGTGTGTGTGTGTGTGTGTGTGTGTGTGTGTATTTGGTGATTTTCAAAGGAATGATTTAGTCTTTCAAAATGAGGGGTCAGCATAAAAATATCATTGTAATCTTCTCAGGCTTTTAAAAATAGACCTGCCTTTTCCACCTCAAAATTGCCCTTCTGGTTATCATCAGCTAACCTCACCCCTGGATGCAGCCAATAAACAAATTCAGAAACCCCAGAATCTGTGGGATGGCAGACTGAGACACAGATAGGGAAAACAATTTCCCCCGCCACTCTTAGTCAGTAAGCCCTCTCTAAAATGATTCCACCACTTCCACTGTACTTCTAACAAAATATGTAATGAATACAAGGAACTCAGGCCAGGCTATGAGGAAGAAGACTTGGTTTGAAGTGCACTAAGTAGCAAAGCATGAAAAAAGACCGTTTTGGGGGGTGGGGGATTTCCCCAACTGATGTTGTGGAGATCCAGGAGGAACCTGAGACTGGCCAACTCAGAGACCATAGGTGTTCTTTGAGTAATAATCACAATTATTTTAATAAGTCATGGTATTCTTAGAAGGTAGAAAGAAATAAGTGGGGAAACAACAATGGGTCTGTTAGAAGATTCACTACTACCGAGAGTGCCAAAAAAATGTGTACAAGTGGACACTCTGGTCAACGCTGCTCGAGCAGTAGTGCGCTGTAACCAGAAGTGTCTGGACACTGATGGGAACCACTTTGAGCACCTCTTGTAATTGCAGAAGTCAAACGTGACTTGTATATGTTGAGTATTACAATTGTAATACAGTTTTCCTTTCTTAAATGTATATACATTTTTTGGGGGGCACCTTCTGTATATCAGTAAAATGCCAGGGCAGGCAGTGAAGTTATTCACAATCAGATCTCCTGATAAGATACCACTATTTTGTACTCTCAGTCCATTGCACTTAAGTAAAAGCAGCACTCTAGTGACTTGCTTTTCTGCAGCTTAGTAATCCTATTTTCCTTGAAACCAGAGGGTCGGGCACCTGCCAAACCTGGGAAAGTCATAATCCTCCACTGGATCGGAGCCCTGCGTGTGATTATCAGTTACAAGATCTTGTGTCCATCAATGTTTCCTTGTTTTATAACCCATGGAAGAATTGTGACTCATGAATCTCGGATCCTAAGAAACATTTTGTGCCCAGAGGTACATCCCGAAAAAAATCGAAGCAGGATCCCAAGTCACATGGCCCCTCAATGTCTATCTTCTTGAGGACAATGCCTGAGGTGGGTGCAAAGGTAAGAGGACCAGCCCATCTTTCTATTACTTGTTTTGGTGACTTTAAAAAATGAGGTGGTGTGCAAGCCAGAGAGCGCACCGGGTAAGAAAGGTGTCACAGAGACCGGGGTCTATTTCAGCACCTGTGACCTCCAGCAGGTTCAATGTCCCCTTCTAGAAAATGAGAGATGTGCTGGAAAATTGCTAAGGCTCCTTCCATTAGCCCTGGTACCCTGCGGTTCCCAATTTCATTGCCTCCAGTAATCTCCTCAATTGTGTGCAAGTTTAAATCATCCCGGAAGTCCCCTCTGTTCTTCCTAACTCCAGAAATCTTGGTCTGTGGGTCAGGAGGCCAAGGGTCTAGTCCCACTTCTGCCTCTTGGTTGGCGAGTCCTGAGAGCAAGTCCTTCATTAATCTCCTGGAACCTGGACGATCAGAGGGAATTATTTCTTAACCCATCTCAAATTCACCCCTAAGACTCACCGCAGACCCTGTTTAAGAATAAACACCACAGGCCGTGGACTGTACAAAATTCCGTACCATAACCACTATCCTAGGTGTTTCTGAAAAAGAGCTAAGAGAATTACAGCTGTGTCCTAGGAGGAAGGGGCTGTGCCTTGCCCCTCCCCGTCTCCCCTCTTACACTCAGCAGGCTGTGCCCTTACCTTGATATTTACCTGCCAACCAGCTTCAACAAAAACTGCTCCATCACAGTAGTTACAGAAACCAATAAAGTGGCCAGTACTTCACAATTAATCCACCTCTTGCGACATGCCTAACAATTAAAGAATAATTTCTCTTTACAACATATCATGCACTGCAGATATAGCATGAGCTAAAAGTGACACTTTCTCCACAATCCTGTGGCCCACAAGAAGCTAAACCCAGAGGGAGAGAGAGCGAGAGAGAGAAACGTGTCATAAATCCTAAACATCTTTCTAATTGGATAATTAAACAAGCTCTGAGCAGCAGTTCAATGGCCTGGGTTCCGGTAAGGGTTCCACCACCTATTTAGCCAGCTGCGTGGCCTTGGCTTAATCTTATACCCTATCTAGGCTGTTTAAATGATTATCGATTTTGAAACCTAGTAGGAACCCTTAAAGAGTTCTCCAGTCTACTCCTTTTTCAAACTTTTTCATGCATAAGAACTACCTGGTGAGCCTGACAGAACACATCGCTGGTCCCAAGCCTCAATCTCTAATTCAGTAGGTCTGGGGTGGGCTCCAAGAATTTGCTTTTCTAACAAGTTCCCAGTTCTGACTACTGCCGCTGCGGCTGCTGGTCCTGGGGCCACACTCTGAGAAGCACCGATCTGGCCCGGTGATTGTCAACAGTAGCTGGAAATTCGAATCACTGACAACATGCCAAGGCCCAGTGTGCACCAGACCTTGTAAATCAGGATCTCAGGACATGCAGCCGCGACATCTATATTCAACACTCCCCGTATGACTTCAGTGTGCAGCGAAGGTTTAGGGCGTCAATCAAGTCTAATTGCCTCATTTTCCAGATAACAACACTGACGTTCAGAGGATCAGGTGATGTCAACGGGTTCAGGGAACCACTTGATGTTCAACACATTCGACGGCAAGAGGCGGGACTTTGGACACTAGGAATTGTGAAGTCCCAGTCTTTAACTCTGTGGTGGTAATACTCTATGGCTGCGTTTGTCCTTTACCTCCTATCCCAGCACACCCAAATAATGATAGGTCAATAGCACAAGACGAAGGGAGACTTTCTTTCTCTGGCCACCCCAAGTAACCAAGAGGAATCAAAGAGGACCGCTCACTGGAGGGCTCTGAGCAGTCTTCAAGCTCACCTTGGTGTAGTTTCTAAATATAACAGGCAGCCAGAAGCTTTGAGTAACTCTTGGCTGATTTGGCTTCCCTGGGATAAACTTTTTTTTTCTCCTCAGATTATGCTATACCAGGAACAGAGCCCTAAGGGGGGAAATTCTTCTTCAAAGTCACAGCAAGATAACACTGTGTGTGGTATTCAGGTTGTTCTCCTTTGGAAGGAGGAAAAAAAAAAAAGTGGGAGGCAAACTTCTAACATCAGCCAACATCAAAAAGGATATCCCTACTTTGCAAGTGTGGTGTGCGCAGAGGGGAGGCGAAGCAAGAGGGGGAAGAGGGTCAGGTGAAAGGCAATTAACACATCCTGGTGCCAGGCTGGCAAGGAGCAGGAGCGTGGGCAACAGGGTCAGGTAGTCCAGGTGGCAGTGGGCACCATGGAGGTGCATGAGCCAGCAGGCACTGGCAGCTGTCCCTGTGCTGGTCCTACCGGGAAAGTCACAGCATGCAAGGCAGCCATGATGCCCGCTCCCCGGGAGGTGGGCTCAGGTACAGCTCTGACTCCATTTCTCTGCTAGACAGCAGACACTAATTTTACTTTGCCCCCTGGCTTTTGCTGCTCCTTCGGTCGAGGGAAATTTGGTGTGCCATTAAAATTGCCTAGAACATATGCAGACATTGATGTCTTCTCTTATGCACCAATACAAAACACTTCCCTCCTTATTTTTTAGTGCAAGACTCTCTATTTCCCAACACGACAATGTATTTGAGTATTAGAGATGCATGGGAGTTGTATGGGATGGTCACCTAGTCCTGTTGTCTCCATTTACAGATAACACCATAAAAGCTACCATTTGTGAAGCACCTACTGTGTATCAGTCTCTTCATATGCTTTAAATCTAACACTCACTCAAGTCCCAAAGGAGCAATATGTTTCCGGATTACAGAAGACGGAGCACTGGCCAAGAAAGATAAAATGATTTACCCTGAATTGCACTGTTAAAAGAGTGAGAGCTAGGATTCAAATACAAGTTTCTGGCTCCAAACCATGGTCCTGTCCACAGTGAGAGGAGGAGTGGGTAATGGTGAATGGTTTCCTGCCTCCTCTGACCCACCAGGTTAGAGCAATGACAGGCACGCCTCAGCTGACATCACCATGTGCTTTCCAAGACCTGAGCCAAAACTTTCTTTAGACAGTCTAGATGTCCAAGGAGGAGTTTGTTGGCTCTCTCTTGTCCCCAGAGGGAAAAATCAACCTTTCAGTTTCAGCCTTAGACAGGGAGAAGCCCAGCCGCTATAAAAACTGAGCAGGAAATTGCATAGGCAACCCACAGGAAATTCTTATTCCCCATGGGAATTTCTCCAAAGTACTGAAAACTCAGGGAAAGAGTATGGTTTGGGGGAGGTGTGGAGACCCCGGATATATCCCGCTACCCCTGGATAATGCAAATCTCCCCTAGGACTGGTGAGAGGACCACAAAGCAAAGCCTTGGTTTGCATATTTTATTGGTGCAGGTATGCACAGATGTGTGTGTGTGTGTGTGTGTGTGTGTGTGTGTTTGGTGTGGTGAGAGAGGCATTATTATAGTAACAGCCATTACAGTAAGAATATCCTGCAGGAAGCCTTTCTCCCATCTCTCTTATCTCTAGAACAGGGTTTCTCAGCCGCTGCACTTCTGACATCTGGGACTGGGTCACTCTTTGCTGTGAGGGCTGACCTGTGCATCGTAGGGGAGTTAGCAGTATCCCTGGCCTCTACCCATTAGATGCCAGTAGCACTTTCCACCCAGTTGTGACAACCAGAAAACAAGTCCAGACATTAAGAAGTCTCTCCTGGGGAGAGGATCAAAATTGCCCCCTGATGGAGAACCACTGTTCTGGAATGTCTCCCCTGTCACCATGCACTAATAGGAAAAACATTCACTCAAAAGTGCAGGTCTGAGATCCGATCTGAGGAAGCTGTAGATTCATAATCTGCATGTTTTCATCAAAGCTCATGTATTTTCTACTGTGAACCTCATAAAAGGACCAGGTCACATCCTAGGCACCTTGGGAATCATCCAAATCTCTCCCGTGGTCTCATGGCCGAGTCTCCTAGCTTCTTTCTAGTCCCAGAAGAGGTGCCCTCCCTACCTCGTTCTTTCCACCAATCCTTCCAGGCCTGCCTCCAGGGCAACCTGGTCCCTGAAGTCTCCCCTCCCACCTGCACACAGCTGCTCATGAACTTCCGTAAGCTCCATGAATGCAGATTCCCCACCACCTCTGCTCCCTTTTGTACCCTCAGGGTTGGCAACAGTGCTTGGCACATACTGGGTGGTCGATCAACATTTCTGAGTGAATATGTTATTGAATACATACATGTGTTTGAAGAAACAAATGCTCTTACAGTTTACCGAGGTTACACATTTCTTTAGAGTGGTCTCTTCTATCTCATGAAGCCAACTATAAACTTCTCTGAGGCCAGAAGTTCTGGCCAAATGAGTCTGGAGTCCCCAGGACAGCCGTTCTCAACTTGGGCTGCACACCTCTTAAAAACCCCAATAGCCAGACAGCATCCCCACACCAATTAAACAGTCTTGGTGGGGGGCGGGAGGGGGGTGCAGATTCAGGCATCCTAGTTCTTAAAAACTCCCCAGGTGAATCTGAGAGGCAGCCAAAGCTTCAGGCCATGCCCTAGGGCTCTGTGAACGCATCGTGAGAATCTACTTCAATACGTAGAGTCCCAAATGGACTGGGGACGAGGCTCCCCTGTTCATTATAACAGCACAGTTCTCAGATTTGTGTGAGTCTATCACACTTCAGTGTAACTACACCGGCTATCATGGACCAGAAGTTCCTGTTGGCTTTGACTAATCAAACTGAGAAAATGAATGAATGATTATCTAATACATACCTTCTCCTCAGGAAACAAAATCTTTGAAAATAGGAGCCCATGTGGGACTAATAAGTTGGAAGCAGTACCTTAGGTTTGCCTTTTATCTTTCAAAGTGCCCGACAGAGGGAAAGAACTGAATAACACTTTGTTGATGAACTGATTAATTCGGTTGAAGGGTTTTCTGTTTTTACTAATATTGTCACTGGGTGTTTGTTTTTTGTTTGTTTGTTTGTTTGTTTTTTTAAAGCTGAGCCCAAAGTGTCCACATTCCCCTTTCTGGAGCAAAAGTAATCACAAGAAAAATTGACAGTGGGATATGTGGCTATTTCTTCCACATGAAACAGCCCGTTCTTCCTGCAGAGATCACAGAACTGTGATCTGGGAAGCGGCTACCGGGGTTCAGAGGAGAAACGGGGAAAATCTTCTAATGGGGAGGAATTTGGTTTAAAGAACAGATCTGGGTAAATGACATCATTCCTGAGTTTGTCCACTGAATTGGATCCCACAGTTGTCACACAATGACTTCTGACTCTCCAGGGGCCAGCAGAGCAGCCCGGGGCAGGCCTTATCAGGAGGAATCAGTGTGGAAAAGTACTTTCCGAAATAAAACTAACATAAACCAGGCGTGTCAGAGTTGGTTTTGCTAAATTTTAGGAATGTGGGAGGAGTGAGTTGACTACAGTACAAGATGGACTAGAGTCAGTTTGCTGAAAGGGCAGTGTTCATCCCACTTCTTTCTTCTCTGCTAATAGATAAGGACAGAGACTCATCAGAAAAGAAAATTTTCTGTTTGCTTTTGAAGAAGACAAACAGGGGTAAACAGAAGGGCAGGGGACAAGCTGCTGCCCAAAGAGGAATATTAGTGTGGTTGGTGTTAAAGTGAAATGGACACGGCCTGGAGATAAATTCTGCGCGTTCCCCACTTACTGTCTGGACCAACGCTTAGATTCTGGCCTGTTTTTCCTACATTCTCCAATAAGCTGAATAAAGTCAGAGTCAAGCGAGCATGCTTGTACTTGCTAAAACACACAGGAAGGAAACATTATTTAGATAAATGGATTTTCTACAGCTTTAAATTTTAGAACCTTGGAAACACTGAGCTGGAATGTACACCAACAACCACTTTTGTCCTTCATTGTATAGAGGGAGAAGTGGAGGAATAGGGAAGTTAGATGATTTCTCTGAGGTCACAGTTCTTTTGGGTAAAGCAGGGACAAACCTACTGTTTCCTTTCGTATAACCTTTGTCTCCTCAGAGCCACGGTCACTACACAAATTTATCATCACTGGCTACATTATATCCAAGGGATATAAGACTTTCTTAGTCAGCAACTTGTTTTAAAACATGGGGGAAAATACGTTTCTTGTTGGAAGTGGTTCATATGTTTAAATGATCAGTTTTACGAGTGACCATTTTACAAATTAAATTAATGTGGAGTGCTTGCTTTTTCCATAAGCGATGTTGCTCCATTCTTACTAATGTTTCTAGAACAGGGGTCGGCAAAATTTTGAGACGAAAGAGCCGCCAGGGGTCAGCAAACTGCGGCTCATGAACTGTGACTGAAGTAAAATTGAAAATGAAAATAAAACTATCATAGTTTCATTTATAAAAATTTTAATGGATATTACTCACATAATGGTGATTATGTAAAAATATATTTATGGCTCTCGAATAATTTTAAAGTTATTGTGAGGGACAGGATTGGCTCTTCCAGGGGTCAGCAAACTTTTGAGATGGGAATGTATCCAAAGAGCCGCATGTGGCTCGCGAGCTGCAGTTTGCTGACCCCTGGTCTAGAAGAACAAATAACAACATTAGGGAGTTGAAATATTGCAAAGATGAAGTGTTGAAGGTCCACAGAAAGTTCTAAGAGGAAGGGCAAGTTTCCAAGCACTTGTTCGCCTTATTCTGCCAAAGGCTTCAGCCATTTGAAGTTATACCATGAGACCCTCATTGAGAGGCGGCAGGCATGGCCGGAGATCTGTACACACTGACGGTTCTACAGTCAACAGGCCAGCTGTCTTCCAGGGACACCGGAACTTGCAAGTGCATCAGAAATGATACAGGGTCCCCTAGAGTCACTGGATAAGTCTTCAAAGACACACCTTCCCCACTCTCTCTACCTCCTGCTGCTGGGGAACAAGGCCCTAGAGGAAGCAACATTTCCTCATATCTGCCCAAGAGAACTGACGTCATTTCTCTCCCCTATCACGACAGGCTTTCCCAGGAGCCAGTCAGAAGCTAAGATTCTATACTCCCGAGGGTGAATTTCTTTCAGTAGCTGCAGGGTTTTTTTCCACCCAACCTCATCTGGGAAATTATCCTCAGGGGCTGCATTTTATCTTTGATCTTTAAAACATAGCTCTGTTCCTGTCTTGAGAAAAAAAATTAATGTATACAAGTCCAAATGAGTAAAACAGACAAATCAGGAGGTCTTATTCACATTACAAGAAACCTTTTGTTTCTTCGCTTCTTTCTTTCACAAGGAATTTCCAGTGCTTTCTTTAAATGGCCAACACCTCAAGTATCAGTATTTTTTTTAACCAACTTCCAAAAATACCTCAGTTTCTACATATCTTTTCAGTTATTCACTTGTCTCTTAAAATGAGGGGTGCTGGTCCCCAGGTTGCTACCCCAATAGTTCACTCAGATGTGCATTTAGTCAGGGCTTCTGAGGCTTGTCTCAGTTCCATCTTTGACTCAGCGGCATTTTTCTGAGAGGGAAAGCAGTGCCTGTTTGTGGAGACTCTGAAAGTACTTCAGGCTGACAGGTGCTATATAAATGAAATATCCTTCCAATTACAGTGACTGTACTATATTGAATTAAGCTATATCACCATAACTAAGGAAAGAAGGCTGCCTACACAGCAGCGCCCTTCCTCGTCCTGGCGCTATCCATACTCTCCTCA